TCTTTCTTTCTCTTTCTTTCTTTCTTTCTTTCTTTCTTTCTTTCTTTCTTTCTCTTTCTTTCTCTCTTTCTTTCTCTTTCTTTCTTTCTTTCTTTCTTTCTTTCTTTCTTTCTTTCTCTTTCTTTCTTTCTTTCTTTCTTTCTTTCTTTCTTTCTTTCTTTCTTTCTTTTTAAGTAAGATCTACATCCAACATGGGGCTTGAACTTACAGCCCTGAGATCAAGTGTCGCTTGCTCTACCAACTGAGCCAGCCGGGTGCCCCCAGAGCCTGGGACTTTTCCCTCCAGATGTCTTGGGTTTAAATCCTGAATCTCCCACTACCTGACTTTTGGTAAAGCTACCTCCCCCTCTGTAAAATGGGAATAAAAATAACATCACCTCACAGGATTGTTCTGAGGATTAACAGAGTTAATGCACATGTTAGAGATGAACAAGATGTAAGGTGCTTTCGAAGTTCCCATCGTGCCCTGTTTTCTTGTAAATATTTAGCCGGTTGTCTCATGATGCTGACTGTCTTGCCTTCTCCACTAGACCGTAAGCACCTTGATGGCAGGAACCAGCATCGCCCAGCACAATCCTTTGACATAATCATAGTTGTTAAATAAATATGTGCCGAATGCTATATTATTCAGCACTTAACACGTCGAATTCAACCCAAACTCAGATGCCAAAGAAGAGAGAGTCCTAAGCAAGCCAAATTGACCATGGTTTTTCCCAGTAATTCTGGTGTCTTGTGAGAGCGCAGACAGAGTGGACTTCCTTGGAAAACAGTAGGCAGAGTGACCTGGAAGAGGCAGGGTGGGCGGGTCCCTTTTAGTACACCCTTCCTTAGAAGGGAGGTGAGGAGATCCGAGCCCTGGGGCCCTCCGCTCAGGCCCAGCCTAGGGCAGGGTGGGCACAGCCTGCAGGGTGCCCTGCCTGAATCTGGAGGGGGGTGGCTGCCTGGCCCCCACCCCAGGTCTGCATGGAGGATTCTGGGATCAGAGGCAGGGGGGAGGCTCAGCCTGCTGGGCCCTCTGGGGAGCTGGCAGGCCCGAGCCACTGCGGAGCACTAGTCCCAAGGCTATATATACACAGGACCGGAATGTTTATTTTTCCTTATTGACTTTCTCCAAATAAACCCCTGGCCAGCAGAAAGGGGCTCCCGGCAGCAGCTGCTTACCCAGTGTTTGTGATAAAGAGGCTTCTCCATAGCAACAGGTGGCAATGTGCAGCTCTCCGAGAACATGGCGGGCCTCGCCACAGGGCTGTGTTTACTCAGAGGGGAAGGCATAGAGGCAGAGGGAGGGAGGAAGGAAGGAAGGGAGGAAGGGCAGGAGGGAGGGAGGGAAGGGGAGACCAGGAAGGAAGCCTCAGCGGGAGTTTGGAGGGCTCTGTCCTCTGGGAGGCTTCTTCCAGAGAGTTCCTGGTGGGTCCAGGGGTAAGGATAGGCTGGGACGTGGGCATGTGATGTGCATGGAACTGCTCGCCTGCTGGGTGCAGGGCCACTGTGAACAGGAGGACCTTGCATAGGAGCCGTGCGACGCGGGCTTGGGTGGCCTGGTCAAAGTGTGAGTCCAAGTAATTGTGTGGTTCAGTCGCTGTGTGTGTGTGTGTGTGTGTGCACGCACGTTGTTCTGCTCTGGGCAAGGAAGGTGTATTAATTTCCTAGGGCTGCCTTATTATCACAGACGTGGTGGCTTAGAACAACAGGAGTTTTTTCTCTTAACAGTTCTGGAGACCAGAAGTCTGAGCTGAAGGTCGAGGCTTTGTTCCTTCTGGAGGGCTTAGAGGGACGCATCCCTCTCTCTGCTCCCGTGCTCCCATGGTTCTCTCCCCTGTGTGTTTCAGTGCCTGTGGCTACATTTCCCTCTTTTTTTAAAAAATTCTTTTTAACGTTTATTTATTTTTGAGAGAGAGAGAGAGAGACAGAGTACGAGCGGGAGAGGGGCCGGGAGAGAGACAGAGGGAGATACAGAATCCAAAGCAGGCTCCAGGCTCTGAGCTGTCAGCGCAGAGCCCGATGCGGGGCTTGAACTCATGAACCATGAGATCATGACCTGAGCCGAAGTCGGACGTCTAACTGACAGAGCTACCCGGGCGCCCCTGCTTATCCATCTTATAAGGACTCCAGTCACTGGATTTTATTTATTTATTAAAAAAAATTTTTTTTCAACGTTTTTTATTTATTTTTGGGACAGAGAGACAGAGCATGAACGGGTGAGGGGCAGAGAGAGAGGGAGACACAGAATCGGAAACAGGCTCCAGGCTCCGAGCCATCAGCCCAGAGCCTGACTCGGGGCTTGAACTCACGGACTGCGAGATCGTGACCTGGCTGAAGTCGGACGCTTAACCGACTGCGCCACCCAGGCGCCCCCCAGTCACTGGATTTTAGAGCCCACTCTAAACCAGTATGACCTCGTCTTAACTGGACTACATCCGCAAAGTACTTATTTCCAAATAAGATCATATTTACAGGTACCAGGGGTTAGGACTCAAACCTATCATTTTGGGGAACACAAGCACCCGCTCTGGGGGGTGTCTGCATGAGGGCGGGGATTGGCTGTCAGTAAAGCTTGGATGATGAACCCCCACGCAAGGTTCTTCGAAAGCACACAGCTCTCACCAGTCCTTCTCCTGCCAAAGAATGACGTGGTGGATCCGGGTCAGGGAGGTGGCCCCGCTGGCTCATTTGGACGCGGTCCTCAAAGAGAGAGGGAGGACGTGAGGCGTCGGGAGTGGTGCCTGGGTCCGTGTCTCACACCCTCGTTCCGTGGCCGCAGACAAGTTACTTCTTCCCTCAGTGCTTCCATTTCCTCACCTGTCCCACTGATCCCCGCCCCGCAGAGCCGTGAGAACCATGAGCTCTTGGCACGATGCCTGGCACATGGCAGGCACTACCCAAAGCACGAGCCATCTGTGCCATTGTTCACGGGCCTTGGCTCTTCCACGAGAAGCGCGCGAAGCCCACTCGGGAACGCCACGCTGGGGTGGGGCCCGCTCCCGCCGACGGCAGCCTCTGTTCCGCAAGTGGGCTCGGGGACCCAGGCACCACGGGGGCACGGTGGGTGCGGGCACGGCCCTGGGGACGTCTGTCCCAGAGACCTGGTGTGGGGGAGGGCGTCAGCAGAGACCTCCCGGCTAGAACGGGCCCTGCCTAAGTGGGCGGATGCAGGCCTCGGCTGTCCTCCGGTTCACCGGAGGTCATTTGGGCCGGCCCCCGAGTCCGTGCGGTCATCCAGCAGCTGAAGTGTGGGAGGGGAGTCGGCGAGCCGGTTGAAAGTCCACACACCTCACATACATACCCCTGACAGACACACACACACACAAGCACGCACACCTCCTAGACTTCCTCCCACAGACAGACACAAAGACTTGAGCCACAGGGACATGGATCTCCGATCCCGTGGCGACCAAGAGTCCCCACGACACATGAAGACCCAAATTTATGAGTCCGTGCCCGACTCTTCCTCGAACACCTACTACGCTCAGGGCCCGGCTCCGGTCACTGGAGAGACAGCAGGGGACAAAACAGGGAGATTACATTTTAGTCAGGGAGACAGTAAGAAAAATGAACAGGAAAATTGTGTCATGTATCAGAAGAAATTGAGTGCTTTGGAGAAAAACGAAGGGGGGAAGGAGCATGGGGAGGCTGCCGTCTGAACCGGGGCCTCTGTTCCTTCCCGGGGTCCCCTCTGTCCCCCAGGCTGGGGCCTGCGCCCCATGGCCAGAGTCCCGCCACTCTTCGCCCGCCCCCCGTGGTGTGGGCCAGGGCCGGTGGCCAGCGGCGGGCATTCGCCTGGTGGCTCCTGGCCTGGCTAATGGGGCGCAGCCCGCGTCACATCCCGGCAGCTGGCGTCGGCGGCGGGGCGGGCCGGCGCTCCCCCGAGATCTGTTGCTCTCTAACTACAGCGTGTCACCCTCCTCATTACTATTCTAATCCTCATTACGGGGAAATGTCCTCACACTCAAACACAACAACCACGCAGCGCTGTTACACAGCCCCGCGGGGAGACAGGGCACTTTTCTGGAGCTGCCGGAGAGAACAGTCAGAGCAGCATGGGAGGAAGAGTTGACGCCTTCTGGAGTTTCTTGCTGGGGGTGCAGTTCTTCCGGATGTCAACTTCTTCTCTCCTCTCTGTCCTCCTATCTTCTGTTACCGTCCTTGCCGATGAGAAGGCGGCTAATTGTTTACTCCAGGGCTGTGCCTGCCACCAGCTAAGCCAGGAGGACTCTAGAGCCCAGCCCTGCCCTTCGCTCCATTTATCTTCGCAGCCGGGCATCTGTGACGGTGCTGGGCACACAGTGGGTGCTCCATAAATGCTATTTGGAAGGGTGAGGGAACGCGGGGCAGGGGAAGAACAAGAATGAATGCAGTTTCGTGGGGGCGAAGCGCGGCCTATTGGCCTAGGCCTCCGGGTGGGGGGTTGGGGGGGTGGTGGTGACAGGGCCAGGGAGGGTGAGAGATAGGCACTTCCCTATTCCTGCCTCAGGGATCCGTTCTCTTCCAGAATCACAGGCTCTGAAGTTCCACCCTCAGAATTACTCCTTTGTGCCAAACACGACCTCCCCCTCCCAAGGTTCTCATTTAAAAAGCGCATTGGAGGGGGGGGTGGTGCCTGGGTGGCTCAATTGGGTAAGCGTCTGACTTTGGCTCAGGTCATGATCTCACAGTTCGTGAGTTCAAGTGTTCCCCGCCTCCCCCCCACCCCCCCACCCCCACCCCATCGGGATCTGCGCTGACAGTTCTGAGCCTGGAGCCTGCTTCCGATTCTGTGGCTTCCCTCTCTCTGCCTCTCCCCTGCTCGTGCTCTGTCTCTCTCTCTCAAAAATAAACATTCAAAAGAATTGAAAGGCACGTGTTCTCCCTGTGAAAGATACTGAATTTGGTGACTGACAGCGTGGTGTTGAATGACCTTGGGCAAGTCCTTGAGCTTGTCTGGGCCTCTGTGTTGTGGTCTGTAAATTGGGACTGTTAACTCACGCCTGCCTCAGGGTTGTAGTGAGGATGAAATGCGCGACTCTTGATAAAACACTGAACACGGGGCCTGGCGCATAGTGACCTCTCGGCCAATGGCAGGTCATGTCAAGTGTGGGAGTCAGGTGTGTTTCCCGAGAAGACACAACCTTGGAGTGGACCAGGATGAAGAAAACTCTTGCTCGACTGATCATCTTCCCGAGGGCTGGCCGGCGGCAAGAGAGGAGATCCAAGGGGCTTAGCACCTCAGGCAGCTGGGTGGGCTCGGGCCAGGGAACAGGGCACCGCACAGACAAGGAACCTGGCCGGTGTTCGGGGTCCTGAGTTGGGGAGAGGGGTGTTCGGGAGGGAGAAACGGGAAGCAAGGAACGGAGATTTGCAGGTTTACTTCCAGCCCTGAGCGATGAGCACCGGGGAGACAGCTAGAGAACAGAGCCCTCAGAAAGTTTCCAGCGCATTCCTGCTAAAATTAGCCCCATCTTGCATACGCAACTCTATATTTAAACCAGTGGCCTGTCAGAGTCACTGCTGTGCAGCCGGCACATGCCGGTGGGTTTGGGGCCCAGTGCCGATGCAGGGGTGCAGGCGGCAGCCCTGGGGATGGGCGAGGTGACCAGGCCATGGGGCGAGGCCACGGCCCGCCCACATGCATGCATAGCACACGCAGGGTACTCCCAGGCAGCAGGTGAGGCCTCCTGCCTCTTGTCCTGGCCTCAGAGGACAGAATCCCAGCAGAGGTTCAAACACGGTCCCACGTGCAGGCACGTGCAGAAGGGACAGGGGCAGACAGGTGGAAAGAACACGGAGAGGAAAGAAGGAGGGAGTGAGGGCCAGGGACAGCAGCAGAATGAATGAGTGTCCGTCGAGAGGACAGAGGAGGGAGGTAGACAGAGCCCTAGATGCTGTGACACCGGGCGGGTTGGTCCGCTCTGAACTTGGGCTGATCTCCTAGTCCAGGGGACGAAGAGTTGTCACAAAGGGGGCTCAGCCTCCTCTGACCACAGAGCCCCCCTGGCCTGGCTCTGAGAAGAGGGGAGCCCAGGCTGTTCCCTCCTTCCCTGCCTGCCTTCCAGCTGTCTCTGGGGAGCGCGCTGGCTGATAAGAAGCCGGTTTTACCTGAGGCCTGGAACATTAACTTTGACACTGAAAAGGGGATATTTTATTACCTGGGAATATTTCTGCACCTCTTCAGAGATCTTCTCGCTCAGCCCCCACCCCCAGCAGCCAGCCTCTTTAGACAATTAAAACCGACTCTGCAGTTAACCCTCCTGATCCAGCCCTGCTAGAGGCCCCAACGAGGGGATTTCATAGGTGGGCAAGTGTCTCCTTTATCCCGTGCAGCTGACCCCCTCATCCCTGCCCTACTGTTGTAGGTGTGTGTGTGTGTGTGTGTGTGTGTGTGTGCGCGCACATGCAGGCAGCAGATGAGGTGACCCGTGAGGCTCTCCCCCCCCAGGCCTCCTCTGATCTCAGACTGGCAAGGGGCCTCAGACAGCCAGCAATCCCCTCTTAGGCTACAGACGGGACAACCGAGTCTCTCAGAAGTGAAGCAGTGTGACTAGCCCAGAGTCACACGGGGAAATGAGTTATCTG